TCTTCTAATCTTAATCGAATTACTTATCCTAAAGTAAATCCTACAACTCTTACAAAGAATTGGTACTCTGGACCTACTCCCCCTGATCTCCAATAAGAAGAAACCAATCTTAATAATCAATTTTCTGTTTCTACTAAAAAATTATATAAATGGAATATAGATGGTCTTAGTAAAGATCAAATCCTTCAAAAATTAAACCATTTATCCATAGTTGCCAATAGTTATCTTAGTAACTACCCAGATTATACTCAACCTGAAATTGTTTCATTAATCACCTCTGGTTTTGCTGGTATGTTAAAATATTGGTGGGAAAAATATCTCACTAAAGATCAAAGAGAATCTATTTTACATACAAGTCAAAAAGATGAAAATAATTTACTCATATTTGACGAAACCATTGGCTATTATAAACCTGATGGAATCAATACCCTAATTTATACTATAGTTAGACATTTTATTGGCACACCTACTAATATATATTCCAGAATCCATGATCAACTTAGTAATCTTACTTGTCTTACATTAAGTGATTTTAGATAGTACAAAGATGTTTTTACCTCCTGTGTCATGCTGAGGGAAGATTATATTAAATCATTTTGGAAAGAGAAATTCATTAATGGTTTACCTAGTCTTTTTACTCATAAAATTAGAGATGTCCTTAGTCAACCTATTGGTGTAATCAAATATGATAATTTAACCTATGGTGATATAATCAGTACTATCCAAAAAGAAGGATTAAGAATGTGTATTGACTTAAAACTTAGTCAAAAAGCTGCTAAGGATAAACATAAAGCTAAATATGAATTAGGAAATTTCTGTGAACAATATGGTTTACCTCTAGTTGCACCCTCTCGACGAAAACATAGTAAAAATAAATCTTCTTACAAACACTCCAATAAATATAAGAAGAAGTATTCACCTTCTAAATCAACTGATAAATTTTATACTAAACCTAAAAAGAAGTATTATAAGAAAACTAATCCTAAGTCAAAATCGACTAAAGACATTACTAGCTATAATTGCGGAAAAAAGGGCCATTATTCCAATAAATGTAAAGAAAAACAAAAATTAAAAGATAAAGTTAATCAGCTCCAAATAAATAATGAATCTAAAAATCAATTATTTGAAATCTTCCAGTTAGATCAATTCCCCAATAACTCCTCCATTGACGTACTTAACTCAAATACCTTATCTGATTACCATTCACCTAGTGATACTTCTGATAATAACATTGAATTAAGATGTAATGATACTTGTTGTAAACCTATTAAACAAATCACTGTCCTTACTAAACAACATCAAGAAGAAATTGCTCTTATTGAATTAATTAGTAAATTTGATGATCCTGAATTAAAATAAAAATATACTGACAAATTAAAATTATTACTAATTAACAAAGATACTAAACCACAACATGACAAACCAATCATCAGCTTAACAAAAACTTTAGATAGATTTAAAAATAAACAAAAAGAAGTCACTCTTCAAGATCTACAACAAGAAATTGATCAAATTAGACGACTCATAAAAGATTTACAAAGTAAAGATAAAATTTTAGAAGAAGAAATATCTGTACTGAAAATTAATAAAAGTTTAGACAACTTCCAACAGAATGACGCCATCTCACCTAATGAATCTGAAGGTGCTAATGAAGATAATAATTCAGATAATGTTCTATTCGATAATCAATCCAATCCATCTGATAATCCTGAAAATAAAAGATTAAATCTTATCAATGAAATTAATATTCAAAAATGGCATTCAAAAATCAAATTAGTTGTTAATGATTTTGAGTTAGAAGTCATAGCATTAATAGATACTGGTGCTGATCTTAATTGTATTCAAGAATGATTACTTCCTACAAAATATTATTATAAAACAGGTGAACAATTAACTTCTGCTAATAGCAGTAAAATGCATATTAAATATAAATTACTAAAAGTCTATATTTGTCAAAATAATGTTTGTTTTAAAACATTATTTGTTTTAATTAGAAATATGACTGATAAAGTTATTTTAGGAACACCATTTATATTTCTACTTTATCCATTCACCACTTCTAATCAAGGAATAACTACTCAAGCTTTTGGCCAAACCATAACTTTTAAATTTTTATCTCCACCTGAAGTTAAAGAATTAAACCAATTAAAAGACTGTTCTATTTCTAAAACCATTAATCGATTAACTCGACAAATCAAATATCTGAAAGAAGAAGTAAATTATAAAAGAATTGAGTAACAATTAACTGATCCTGTTATTATTTCTCAAATTGAGCTATTTAAACAAAAATTAGAATCAACCGTTTGCTCTACTTTACCCACTGCCTTTTGGCACAGGAAAAAACATGTAGTTACATTACCATATATTAAGAATTTTAATGAAAAACAAATTCCTACTAAATCTAGACCTATTCAAATAAATCATGAATTAGCTGAAATGTGTAAAAAAGAAATTAATGAATTATTACAAATAAAATTATTAGTCATAGTAAGTCACCCTAGTCTTGTCCTGCTTTTTATGTTAATAAAGATGTTGAATTAGAAAGAGGCGTTCCTAGATTAGTAATTAATTACAAACCATTAGATAAAGTGTTAGAATGGATTCGTTATCCAATCCCTAATAAAAAAAAATTAATTAAAAGACTTAGTCAAGCTATCATTTTTAGGAAATTTGATTTAAAAAATGGTTTCTGACAAATCCAAATTCACCCTCAGGATCGTTATAAAACTGCTTTCACTATGCCTTTTGGACATTATGAATAGAATGTCGTGCCTTTTGGATTAAAAAATGCTCATAGCGAATTTCAGAACATAATGAATAAAATTTTCAGTCCCTTTAGTCATTTTTCCATTGTTTATATAGATGATATTCTCATTTTTTCTAAATCCCTTAATGAACATTGGAAATATCTTACTGTTTTTTTTTATACCATTAAAACTCATGGTCTAGTCATTTCTGCTCCTAAGATTAAACTCTTTCAAACCAAAGTCAGATTTTTAGGATATGATATCCACCAGAATACCATTTTACTTATTAGTAGATCCATTGAATTTGCTTCTAAATTTCCTGATGAAATCTTAGATAAAACCCAGTTACAAAGATTCTTAGGATCACTTATATTACTGAATTTTACAAAGACCTTAGGAAAACTTGTCAACCACTCTTTGATCGGTTGAAGGATAATCCTCTTCCTTGGTCTTTTACTCATACTGACATTGTTAAACAAGTTAAAAAATATGTCAAGTCTCTCCCATGCCTTGGTATTCCTACTGAAAATTCATTTAAAATTATCCAAACTGATGCTTCTGATATTGGTTATGGTGGTATTCTTCTCCAGAAAATCACTCCTCAGTCATCTGAACAGATTGTTCGTTTTCATTCTAGTGTCTGGAATAAAGCACAAAAAAATTATAGTACTATTAAACAAGAGATTTTATCTACTGTTTTATGTTTAGTAAATTTCAAGATGATATTTTAAATCAAAATTTTTTACTTCGTGTTGATTGCAAATCTGCTAAATATGTTTTAGAAAAAGATGTTCAAAATCTTACTAGTAAACAAATTTTTGCTCGTTGGCAACCTATTTTAAGTATTTTTGATTTTGATATTGAATATATCCCTGGTTGTCAAAATTCTATTCCTGATTTTCTTATCAGAGAATTTTTACAGGGGGGATAAGTGATAGCAACTCCTCTTATTTTCTACCATAAATCACAAGTTACCTATTACCAAAATCTCATTCACCAAACTGCTCACCATATTGCTTGTCTCAAATTAGCTAAAAAATCTACTAAACGTGCTCAATTTATTTGATTTCATACCATTTGCAGTCGTCGTAATCCTATCCACCTATTTTACAGATGTCTGCTCAGAGACCTTTGAGACCTCTAGTAAAGCTATTGTTCTTTCTAGTCAACCAGTTCCTCCTTTGGAATTGGTTTCAATTGTAAACCAATTTGGTACCTGCTGAATTAGTCAATCGTTACTAAGTTCTTGATAATATTCCTAAACCTAGTTATACCTCTGTTTTGGCTACTGACCCTTTCGCCTCTGTCTCTCAGTCAGTTACTCCTTACCCTTCTAACCCTATTAAATCAGCCCGTTCTGATTATGTTAAATCCCATACAACTAATCTCTTTTTCAAAGAACCATGTCACTCAAAAAATCATACAGTTCTTGATCTAGTTATATCCTATTTGCTTCCTGGATGACATTTTGCTCCTTTTCATCTAGAAAAATCAATCACCTACTACAAAGATATCATGTTCAACCATCAGTCCATTGTTATTAAACCTATCTATGATCGGACTTACACCAGTAAAATTGTACACTATTCATTGTATATTCACAATATAGTCTCTTTGAATGAATGGGTCCTCCTTTTCAATTCCGAGATTTACCTGGTTATACAATTCAATATAGTTATTATGATTATATTAACGCTTGGTTCAAAGTTCTCCTGTATCAAAATGAGTCAAACAGTCACTGTTGGTTCCTCCAATTTGATCATAAATTCAAGTCAGAATTCTCCACTTGGTTTCTCCGATGGTGGACTCAGTATGGAGCTATTGAAGATATCTTCCCCTCTATTTTGATTGAACAAATCAACTATTTTTCTACTTTTTTTTCATTCGGTCCACAACAAAAGAAATTCCCTACATTGCTCATTTTTATATCCAAATACAAGGTCCCGTGGATATTTAAATGACAATATGCTATTTCTAATGACATAATCTTTCGTCAACACTTTGTTAAATTGTGGGATAATTTCAAGATTCCATGAATTATTGAACAAGTTCAAGCAGAATTCCCATTCAATATTCATGCTCCAACACCTACCATGGTCAAAGCTCAGCAAAACCCAACTGCTTCATTAACACAGGAAGCCAACTTCCTCCAGTCAATCTTGGAAGCCCAACTTCTAGTTCTTTCAAGCCCAAGTCAACAAAACCCAAATTTGATCAAACAAAGTCCAAAGTCAAGACTAAACCCTCATCATCTCAGGCTAAGCCCAAAGTCAAGTCCAAGTCATTCAAAGATGAGCTTCTCCAAATAGCTCGCCTACTCATGGCCCAAGCCAAGTCACAATCTGATGAAGCCAGTTCAGAAGAAGGTTCAAATGGTTCAGACTCTTCTGAAAGGCTCAACCAATCAAGATCCTTATGGGCCCCAGTTTCAAGATGCTCAGGACTCGTATACTTGATATCATCATTGGATTCTATATAGCTATAATTATCAGCTTCAATCAATACTCTTCTTTTGAGAAAAGCTACTGATATATATATCTATATTGATTCCCTCAGTCACATGCCTCCGTCAGAAAGCAATGAATAGTGAAAAGAAAGTCAAATTTATTGTTCACTATTCATCAAAAAGTCAACATTACTATTCATCATAATTCATCCAACCGACAAATTCAGTACAATCAAAAGTAGCCATCAATTTTAGTCACTCATCAAAAGTTGCAAACAGCCCCCATGTGCTTTTTTCAAAGTCAGATTCCTTCACAAAGCTCGTAGTAACTCCTTCACAAAGCTCATAGTAACTCTTTTCATCTATAAAAGAGCCTCTTCAGTCAAGAATAAGGCAGAGTTAGAAAAATCTGAGTGCTCATTCCTCAAAAAAAATAGCTATCTCTGTAATTTTATATTTTCAAATTCATTTTCAAATTATGTATTTTGAAGAATTGTTTGCCTCATTCCAGTAAACAATTGTAAGTTTTATTTTAAGTTATTAAGTTAATGATTATTTTATTTTTAGTACTATTTCTTGCTTCCTGCTTCCGTCTCTTTTATTTAAATTACATATGATATTTTTGAATAATTTTTTTAATTTATAATACTAATATAAGACTAATGCTATAATGATTAAGGCGTTGTTTGTCATAACTTTAAAAAGTCAAAAATTCAAAAAGTCATTATCTTATTTACGTCGCATCATCTCTGTATCGCATCAATTCAAATTCAATCCATACTCAACTCATATTTCATAAAAAGTGAAAAAATATACTTATTTAAATCATCCTAAATAACCCCCAAAGGTTTATATACAATGCATTCCATTTTCGTGCATCGATTCAATACATAAAACGTCACGTCAATTGTAAACCAATTTGGTACAAAATTTGAAAATTAGTAGAGATACTAATACACTTATTATTTAAAAATATATAAAATATATGATAAATAAAATTTAATTATCATTCCTTAGTCTTTATATGAAAGGACTATTCTATTATAAGGATGGGTCTTTTTGAGAAGTGAATTAATAGTTACTTTTTAATTTATAATTTATTTTAAGTCACATCATCTCTCATATTTTTTACATGTTTTTAAAAAAAAAATTAAAAAAAAATTTAAAAGTCAATTTTTAACCATGTTTTCAAAACAAATGATAATTTTATTTATAATAATATTCTTTTAATTATTTATTTTAATATTACGATAAAATGATCGTTGCAGTTTACTTTACTCCGGTGAACCAAAGAGAGAGTGTAGATGAAATTCTGAATTCAAGCTAGTATTATGAAGGCGAAGAGTGTTTGTTCCGCGGCCCAGGCTTATAACACGGGCTTGATTTTACCAGGCCCAATATTTGTAGGATGGTACGCTGTGTATCAAGCCAGGCCCAAATCGACGAATGCCTTTTATATTACAAAATTCAAGCCCAAAAATCTGGCCTAAACTCTCAGGATTTTGTACCTGAGAAAGCCCATAAATAACTTCTTAGTTGACAGCCCACAGTTTTTTAATCATCACTCCAAAGTAGCAATTTGATTAAGAAATTAAAAAAAAAAAAAAAACGTAGTAATTTGCAACATCTGAGTTTCATACTTCATATACGAGATGTTCTCAAAATTTACTGTTTTCATATTAATGTTTTTTTAATTATTTGGATCATGTAGAAATCTCAAATTACTTAAATGATTGTGTATTAAAATAATTGTAATAATTATAGAGCTAATACATGCAAAACTCTAATTTATAAAAAAATATTTATTAGATAAAAGATCGAAACATGACTGTCTGTTACTCTAATATCATATTAGATTATTAACTACCTACTTATCTAAATATTTAAATTATAAATAGAGAGAGAAAATATTATTATTTATAATACATTCTCAAAAAAAAAAAAAAAAAAAAAAAAAAAAGAAAGATGATGTCATGCGGTGGTGACAATCGTTCCAATTAATAACTATCATATGAGTGCGTTTATTACAACTTCCCAATCTACAAAAGCAACAACAAGAAGTACAAAAATGCTAGAGGCTCAAAAATTCTATCAAAAGTTTTACTAAATGTCTCACATGGGTATGGGACCCACATGGGACACACATTGTGTGGGTCCCACACCCATGTGAGACATTTGGTAAAACTTTTGATAGATTATTTGGGATCTCTAGCATTACTCTAAGAAGTAAAGTTAAATATGATCATTATTGTTATCGTTATGATATAATTATTTGTTATAGTCAATTATGGAGATTTGGGTGGAACTTTAGATGTATATCTTTCTAGGCAAGTTAAGAATTTGTAAAAATACATTCTGGGTAGAGCCAAACATTAGGAAAGGCTATGTATATCAGAGAAATTAAAGTCACCCCTACCCTGAAAATTAAGATGTAGAGAGAGATAGGCAGCATTTTTTGGGTGAGCAGTGCTCATTTTATTCTTAGGTTCTTCGAAAGTTTTGATCATTTGATAACTCTCTATCTTCTTTTTTGCTTTTTCTATTTTTTTGATATTCTGTTTTCATGGTATAAGTTTTATTTTCTTTCATTGCCACCTTTTATTGCAGGCTGTAATATAGAAAAAAAAGCATATAAATTATTATGTTAATCTTGAACACCATGTGTTGTATATATTTCTCATGATGGTTTGTGATTTGTTCACTAATAATGTTACGTACAAAAAGATCATACGTAGAAAATATCTTAAATATTTAATATGTGATTCAGATAAGTTTAATCTCAACCACACATTTCCCTTTTTAAATATATTTTTGTGCATAAATTATATGCACAAACACATATCTATATTAATTTTTTATTTTTTGTAAAGAAATTACTTTTTTTTTTTTCCTTCTAACAAACTATCTATCTATTATACAAGCGAACATAAAATAGGTCTATTGAAGTGATATGAACTAAGTACATCAGTTTGCAATTAATATGGTGTTTTCGAAAACAATAACTAGAGGTTGAATGGGTGTGTTGTGGCATTTATGCGTAAAATAAATTTAAATTGTATATTAATATTTTAAAATAAAATTTTGAATAAATTTTAAGGATATATGCAATATTACTGTTCTAAAAAGCAAAATAATTACTGAGAGGAAAAAAGAGAAATTCCATTGGCAAGTAAAGGGTGTGTTGCCACATGGCGTGAATTTAATGGGTTGTGAAACGATGAAGACGTCAGAGTTAGGCTGTCTTGCAGATTATAAAAACCATGTTTCTGGTTGGTTTCACTTTCAGCATCTCATTATTCAATGTTCATTCCATGCTTATGCTTTGTACGAATGTGAGAGATAGATGGCTTGTAGCTAAAAGACATGAGACTATACGATCGATGATGCAATAGATTCAATCTCATTATCATTACATCAATTCAAGTTGTAGCCTAGGTTTGTACAAATTTCAATGATTTAATTAACTACGCTTCTCTCTCTATCAGACTTCCCATTTAACACATTAACAAATAATTATAAACATTTTACAAATCAAAGAAACAGAACTGTTGAATTCCACATGTATGGCAATGGGTTGGCAGAGTCTTGTCGGACCCATAAAGGAGCTAACCGGAATCAATGTCGGGACAGTTTACAGAGTCTTGTCGGACCCTTAAAAAATCGCATCTTCAAAAGGTGCTCTCAATTTTTCAAAAGACGTGCCATCAAAAGGCGTGCCCAATTTATCAAAAAGTGTGCCGGACATGATGGCGAGGCACGTGAGTGTCTTGGTTGGCGTGCCCGTTTGTCGGCTGGTGGGAAGAGACACGCGATGCGCGTGGCTGCCTCGGCTATAAGACGAAGGCTGAGGCTGAGGCAGAGGCGGAGACAAAAAACTTGCGAGAGATATTCTGAGAGAGATTCTGTAACACTCTGTTTTCTGAGAGAGAGTTCTGAGAGATATACTGTGTGACATTCTGTTGCCTAGAAAATGGCTTCATCGTCTTCCCGCGGGCTGCTCACCCTCTTTCCCGACCTCAACGAGTCAACAAGAGAGATAACGGGTGCGGTGGCCAGTGAACCTCAACCAAACACTGCCGGTTTTGCGCCGTTGAACTTTCCGATGCGGTCGGTGGAGCAAAAAATGGCTGTGCAGTCGGATGTGGAGGCCAATCAGTATACGTTGAAGTCATGTGTGGAAACCATGACTGCGGTGACAAACTTGTCGAACCGGCTGCAGAGTAGGGCAAATGAGGTGCAGCAGTTAAACTCCCAGCTGGCTCTGCTCCAACGCATGTATAAGGATGCGCGAGCAGAGATAAGCGTGCTAAGGGCAGAAAACAAGGAGCTGAAGCGGAAAGCCACCGTGATGTTCCGATTTGGAGGTCCTCCATATGCTGCAGTGGAGGAGTATGGGGGAGTGATTATGCCCAGTGGAGTGGGAAACATGGAGGCAACACCGTCAAGGGCCGCTCAGGACGGAGGCAAGAAGAAGAGACCTGCAGCAGAGTAGAGAAGCAAAATCCCGCCTGTGGATGTGGTTGTTTGGTTGTGTGATATATTTGTTTGTTTGTTTTTTTTTGTTTTTTGTTTTGTGTAAAATGGTGATCGGGGTGAGCCCCGACATGAATAAAAGGAAATGAGGTTGGTGTGCAGTTCGTCTTCTTCTTCCTTTTTTTTTTTTTTTTTTTTTTTTTAAAGAAATAAAGAAAAATAAATAAAAATAATAAATTGGGAATCAAAACGGAGGAGAGAGGGGATATGGCATAGTATAATATGGTAGAATATAGGATAATGGTGTGGTGGGAACGTGGTGGTGTGTGAAGAATAAAAAATAAAAAATAAAAGGGGTCGCTTTATGCAGGTGCGTGTCGGCTAGTGGAGGTGAATATGAAAAGAAAAAGAAAGGAAAAGAGAGGGTGTAAAGGGCGAGAGAGAGAAAAGAGTTGAAAGTGCATTGGTGAGTAGGATCACGTGGGTTAGTGCAGAGATGTCCTGTTCTGAAGAGACAATGGGTTGTGGAGGCTTCTGGCTTCCATGTCTCTGCAATGGGCCTCGAGGGAGGACCTTGTTCTTGCTTTGATTTATGCGTTTCCGATCTTTGGAAGACCCAAAACACGCAAGAAAACTACCCATTATTTTAGGTTCTCTGTTCTTGCTCTCTCAGATAAAAGTTCTGTTCTAGGCCGAGGACGATTTGCGGCTGATTAAAGAGTCATCATGCTGAGAGAGAGAGATGTGCGTTTGAGCTCGCTAGAGAGAGTAAAGGCTGCCCAATCTTTCACAGACGGTTTAGAGAAGGACAGAGAAGACACACACAGGGCTCTCTTCCCTCTCTCAGCACTAGTCTCTCTCTCGTTTCGGGAGTAGATGGTGAAGGCGATGTAGCCCCCCCGTGGGTCGGCGCTGGTGCTGCCGTCGGCGGTGCCGGAGGACTCACTGCTAACGGCGACGGCGACGGAGATGTTGGCTGCTTGCGCGAAGCTGGGGCCGGAACCTGAGCAGGTGGAGCAGCAAGCGGTGCAGGTGGAGGAACAGCCGGTGGTGGAGTGGCTGGTGGAGGAGTCGTAAGTGAACCTCGGAAGCGACTGGAAGATCGTCTGTTTGAGGCCGTTGTTGGGGGCGGCGGCGGAGCCAGGCGCATCGGGCCACGGCAATGAAGCCGACGACGCAGAGGTATGGAGGTTTTGCTCTGGCGAGGTATGTGTAAAAAAAAATCTTAGCGGACTAGATTGAGGTCCGGCGGGCGGCCAATGTGAGGTTGCCGCCCGCCGGGAAAGCGAAAATATTAGGTTCTAAACCCGCTCTGATACCATGTTAAAACTCTTGTATTATTGATTGATGTTGATGATTTTGTGTTATGTATTACAACTCCTATATATAGAAGAGAAGGTGGTAGTAGGTGTAGTGTAGTGGAGGTGGTAGGTGAAGTGGATGCTAGTGGAGATGGTAGGTGGAGGAGTAAATTGGTAAATTCTAACAACATCAGTTTGCAATTAATATGGTGTTTTCGAAAACAATAACTAGAGGTTGAATGGGTGTGTTGTGGCATTTATGCATAAAATAAATCTAAATTGTATATTAATATTTTAAAATAAAATTTTGAATAAATTTTAAGGATATATACAATATTCCTGTTCTAAAAAGCAAACTAACTACTGAGAGGAAAAAGAGAAATTCCATTGGCAAGTAAAGGGTGTGTTGCCACATGGCGTGAATTTAATGGGTTGTGAAACGATGAAGACGTCAGAGTTAGGCTATCTTGCAGATTATAAAAAGGTAAAAGTTAGGGATTATGAAATTTTTTTAATAAAAATGATCATGAAAAATTTATGATTCTTGGATTATCTTGATTAGTGTGTGGTGTTTTATTCTAAATGTAATCCAAGAATTACAAAATTTTCATGATTATTTTCATGAAAAATTTTTCATGCTACCTAACATTGTTGTTTTAAAAACCATGTTTCTGGTTGGTTTCACTTTCAGCATCTCATTATTCAATGTTCATTCCATGCTTATGCTTTGTACGAGTGTGAGAGATAGATGGCTTATAGCTAAAAGACATGAGAGTATACGATCGATGATGCAATAGATTCAATCTCATTATCATTACATCAATTCAAGCTGTAGCCTAGGTTTGTACAAATTTCAATGATTTAATTAACTACGCTTCTCTCTCTATCAGACTTCCCATTTAACACATAAACAAATAATTATAAACATTTTACAAATCAAAGAAACAGAACTGTTGAATTCCACATGTATGGCAATGGGTTGGATTTTTCAAATTTTATTTTAAACTTATAATTATTCTGGTGATGCAATTTTATACTTTATTGCAATTCAAATAATTTTAACATTCAAATTCTTATGATTTATAATTTATTATTACCCTACGCTATCAATATTCTTTCAATTTTTTTTATATTATTATTAAAATTAAATTAAGACAAATACAATTGAATCGAATAAATTTGCAATAACAGGAGTATTCAACATCAACAGTGCGAGGTGTTTTGGGAAGTAAAAAAAAAAAGAGTTAATTTTTAACTTTTTACTTATTTTGAATCATATCATCTCTCACATTTTTTACTCACGAAAAGACAAAATAGACTAAAAAAATCAAAAAACTAACTTTTTATCAACTTCTCAAAACACTACTACATAACATTTATGGTCTCATTCTCATACATATTCTCATATCCAATTTGATCACTGCCTCTCTCAACTGCATTCCATTCAATCAAATTCATTGTCTGTGTGCACATTTTACTTTCCACACCCTTTTACTGTTTTCCCCATTTCACGATGAGATCACACGTGTCTTCATATTAATGATTGTTCTCGTGTATGCACATGCAATGTATCCACAAATCATATTTCACAATATTTCGGAGTCAAAATTAATTTTTAGAAAAAATAACCAAAAATGATATGTAAATATGATTTATTTTAGTTGTGATACACGTCTCATTAAGTTAGATTTACACCATATGATTTATTTTCTAATTTCATAAGGAAATCATATTTAAAAATAATATGGAGTTAGAAAAATAGTCTAAAAAGTATTCAAGAAAATAATAAAAATTATACATGGACCAAATTTATTTGGATATGATTAACATCACACCTATATAATTTATTTTCTAATTGCTTTTCAAAATCTTTTTCTAACTCCATAAGCAAATCATATTCAATAATGTTACAACAGAAAAAAAAAAAAAAAACAAGTCTAAAAAGTTGTCAAAAATGATATGTAAACTAGATTTATTTGTATCACACTAAATTTAATTTTACTACTACATCTTTTATTTCAAATTACTTTTCAAAATCTTTTTCTAACTCCATAACTTTTTTCAATGTCACATTTGTCAAAAAGAGATTTGCTTTTGGATGGCATCAATTAGTGTTGAACATCATATCTCGATGAATAATTTATTATTCTTCATAGGACAGAGGTTCTATCCAATAAAAACACTCCAATCATTTTCACAACCAAAATTAATATATAAATAGATATAAATGAAAGAGTGAGAGTAGTGGTGCTGAATATATAAAGGCATAGTTCAATGTAACCTTCATGCACGCGTATATAGAAAAAAATTAAATCCTGAAATTTCTTTCTTTTCCAAGTATATGGTTAATGTTATTAATTTAATATATGCATTCTAATATAAGAAAACATAAGAGTCCTTGTAGGAATTAATGAAGGACTTGTACATAAGAGGTAAATAAAGATAAGCAATTGACAAGACCATACCTTATACCCAAATGGAATAATTTATAGATGATCATGTTCACATTCTAACATTCATTCACTTTAATTTAGGAAATTTAACTATCTTGGATTGCTTGTAGATATACACATACAATTATATGCATGTGTTTTCATGTTTATCTTAGACTAATTTAGTCCTCAATTATGAAGGATATTTGTTGTCAATTTTTTTTTGTAAAATTCATTAATTTGTACAATAAATCATAAAATTTCAAATATAATTATAAAAAAAGTGCAAAACAATCAAAAATAAAACAATACCAAAGGTTCATGTACGTTTTGTATCCAAAACATAAAGTTCATGAACGTGATAAGCATGCTTTTGGGGGAAATTATTCAATATTTTCGAAATACCACGTATCTGTATTCCTTAATCAATTATCATTTAATATGCCTTCTCATATTCCTTAATCGAGCAATGATTCATCCCTCTAATTTTGGAACTCTAATTGAGCTCTAATGATGTGGCAAAGAATAAAAAAAATAAAACCAAGGCCAAAACATCACATCACAGTGAAATCCACTCTCATTAGAGCTCCTTTATTAGAGCTCCCAAACATTTTTCTTCCCGAATCACCCAACACAACAAAAATGTTTAAGAGCACTAAAAGTAGAACTCTAATGATAGCTTTACTTATGTGGCAGTGGGCCCCACTTATGAATGATTCGATGTATGTGTATTTTTATTTTTTTTTTACTCCATGCCACATCATTAGTGCCATTGTTAGAGCTCCAAATTTAGAGTTATGAATCATTGCTCCCCAACACAATACCTCACCTACACGCCTTCTCCATCAATCACAATACTATGAAATACCAAGTGCCTATATTCCGGAATTACTAAATAATTACCTTGCTTTTGGCGTAATAATAGTACTGTTGGACGTTGGAAGCTGACGTGAGAGATAGGTTCGAAATATTATGTGATTGTGTTTTTGTTTAATGATATTTTATAATTTGTTTATCATATCCTTTATTTTATAAAGGATATAAGCATACAACTCATTGAGTATATTACTCTACTACTAACAATGTTATAACCACATAAATATAATTGTGAGTGGTTTTTTAAATATTCTTTCGAGCTGAACAGCCTTTTGCTTAATTCTCGATCTGAAATCTAAAAAATAGAAAACACTTTAGTTGGGAGTGTCAGAATTAGTACTCCAACGGTTAAATTATCTTGAATATGGGAAGGAATGGGTATGATATTTTCAAGTGAGAGTTTTTGTGGGTTGATAGTGCATACCTTTCTTCTTTAACTCACCTTTTTTATATAATCATTTAGTGTAGATATTTTTTACGTAATTTGACCTGTCTGTCATCATTACTTGAATATCACGTTCCAATTTCCTACTATACTTTCAAAAAAGGACAACTTGAGCCTACTTTTGTTCTCCACATAGGTGTCGACCGTTTCTACAGGCATCCCTTATTCGTCATATTGCTTGGTTAGCGAATGTGCTGTTCGGCATTGAGTTCTCATCAAACCTAATGAGCTTGATTCGGTTTGGGCTTTATGATGAATGAGCCTAAGTGTCTTGTTTGCCGTTTGTTAAGAAAAATTATTTGACTCACATAATAATCTTAGATCGATGGATAAAATTTTACAAATTAGTTAGTATTTTTTGTACTCTATTGTGTGCTTGATTTTTATATTCATAGACTTATTGCTATGTTACTGGTCTGACATAAAAAATGTGAGTAAGGAAGTCCATAATTGTTGATGCAAGTACAAAAATTATCATACGGGTCACGACGGCCATGTTACCGTGTGCCCATTGATAAGCACTTATTTCTCTATCATTTTTATTTATTGATAGAGTAATGTAATTATTTAACCTCCTATAATTGATTGGACACAAATGAAATTCTCAAAACACATTTTAATTACTCGACCCAAGTGAATAATAAAAAATAAAAAACTGAAGGTGATGTGGGGAAGTCGTAGAGTGGTAGGCTGGGGGTGGGGAGAGCATAGGGGGGAAGTGGGCCCCCACATACTTACGTTTCGGAGTGATGAGAGTAAAGACAGTGGTGGGCCGTGGGCCTGCCAGTCTTTTTGCCTAACTCTATCGTCCGGAGTTTGGGTTGGAGCTTCTTCTCCGTATTAGTTTTTTATTTTATTTTTATTTTTATTTTTAGTTTCCGTAACTATTTTGAGGTGAGAAGTGGAAGACACATTATTATTTTACTTTGAGGCTTTATTAGTGTAATCGTTTTTTATTGAATAAATACAAATACATTTAGGCCCACTTAGTAAAATGGTAATTTTGTTATGGTTATGATTTGTTTGGTGTGTTCAATTAATATTTTAAAGTTTAAATTTCGAAAAATTTCATCGATTAACCATATAAGTTAGGAAT